ATGCGCCACCATGTCTGCTTTCTTCCTTTTTTATTGTGCTGCGATGCCTTGTATTAGTGAACCTCCTGAAAGCTGCCCTTTGCGAGTGCATGCGTAAAAAAGCTGAAGGAATTGGAAATACGTAATAGACGCGATATTTTAGTGCTGGTGAAACCTGGTGAAATTTCGGCCAGAATTTGGTGCCGAAGCATCTTTTCAATCTGGCAACGCTGTCATGACTATCTTTTGATTGGAGTCTGAAAAACGCGTTGCACGGAACCTCGTTTCTAGAACGCGTTACGAGGAACGAGAAACACCACCGACGTAGTTTTGTGTGGGTCAAGCTATAACAGAAACCCGTTTGCTATTTTTTTTTTGGAATGGCGCTAATGGAGTCGTACTCGTGTTTTGTTTAGCTATAGGTATATAAATGTTGAAATTGAATTCGCCTTGCGTGCCTTCTTTTGTCTAAACACGCATAAACAAACAGTCCATTGAAGAGCGACTCCGGTTATCTTCAGCCTTACTGCAGTTGCGAGTGAACCTGAGGGTGGCTGTCTTCTCAATATTAAACGTAATATCTTAATTTTGTTCTCGCTCCGCTCTTTTTAAAAAGAGGATTCTACCAGTTTTATAACAAAACCCACGCATGAAACTCGAGTGAAGCGATTCGTTGCATCGACATTCAAGAGTACTCACAACAAAAACTAGCTTCTAAAACGGGCAAGATTGAAAACTGGCTCTCGATTTTACTAATGAAGAGCGTCTACAACACTGTTTGTGCGCAAGGTGATTTGCGCTTCCCCGAAAAGAGCAAGCGCAGCTTTGTGAAAAAAAGAAATTTAATTGGAAGCTCGCTGTGGCCGTAAGATCAGTCCTCCCCCTCTAGCCTAAATTCCAAATAACCTAAACAGCCTAAATCTCAAATAACGCTTGGTCATCAGCGCTCTTGGTATTAATCGAGAAGCAAAGGTGCGATCTTATGAAGCGGACCCGAATGGTTGCCGCTTCAAAAGCCTCTTCGGCTTCTATTTAACACTGCTCAATTGCTTCATTGTTACCGATGCCTTCTTTTGTAAGAATTAGGTAGTGGAGCTAAAACAAACTCATATCTTGAGAACATCAGGAATCGTGTTCAAACAATATTCAGCAAAACAAAACAACAACAACAGCATTACATCGCACTTTTAAATTGTAGAGTAGCTACGTCAGAATAAACATCATCGAGTCAAACGCAGCAATTAGAACTGAGTGTTGTTATCCAGAGAAATAACACTTGTCAAATCTTGCCGAAGGTGCTTATTAAAAAAATATATATATATGTGTGAATGTTTCCCCGCATTTCTTCCCGGTTATTTGCTGAGCAGCAGCATAGGAGTAATTTATACTCTGAGAACGTAGATGTAACTGTTCCCTGCATACGCTGATATAGACTTTCAGCCAAGGAATTCCGGTAAAATGCAGCAATAATAGATTCCCCTTTTGGTCCCGAGTTAGCATTGACCATAGAGTTATTATAATGTTCGCTAGAGTTTCAACTGGCGCTTGTGTCCATGGGACTTCTGGTTTGAAATCGAAGCAGACAACAACCAGTCCAAATTTGCGGTGCTCCTGCACATTCCTTTGGGAAAACGCTCCTGCATTTTGTCTCTTCGCCGGAGAATGATAGAAATTACCTTTCTTACTTGAATCGTAGCGAGTGGTACGTAACTTTATTGGCATTATTTTTTTTTGTTTATTTATTTCGCACTACTACTACCCTACAAGGGTAGAAAGAAGAGAAACAGACAAAATGTCGTTGGTAAAAGGAAACAAAATGCATACGCGGAGAGCAAACGTCTGCTTGTTGCGCAGTAGTTGCTGTGACGTCATAACGACGCCGAGCGCTGATTGGCTTTCCTTGAAAGGATAGTGGGTAGACCTCAACGTTAGATGCCTTGAGACCTACCCACAATTTTTTTTTAATCAGCCAATAAGAGCTCGGCGTTCTGACATCATCGCAACACCTCTGCAAGAAGCAGATGAACTTGCACTCCGCATAGTGTATATGGAGAACAGAATACAAACTGTTCACAAAGAGACGTTCAGCTGGTGCTGGAAACTGCCAAGTGAGTCGGCGTGATGGATGCTGATGTGTAGGTTAGTCCAATCTGATATGGTTCGAGAACAAAAATGAATATTTGAAGCACTCAAGGCGAATCTGGAAGTTATCTATTGTTTTTGTGTGGAAGGCCTATAGTATTTGTTCATGCGGAAAAGCCAATAAGGTTGTCTGTATTGACGTGGAGATCACCCGTGATGATTTTGTAGAGCGTTTTTAATCTTTTTTTTTTTTTTTGTGCGTTGTCATTTAGAGGTGTCAAATCAGTTTGTTTTATTAATAACTATACGGTGCGTCGTATCGTCCGAATTTGCTGGAATTAAATCGTACAGCCTTCATATAAAAGTGATATTGCTGTTGTTACACTATTTTTCCCGACCAGTAGGCTGTTTAACTTCTCGGTATTCCGCGTCCACTCCTATGTTCCACGGCAAGTGTGTAAAGACTAGCGGAGAATCCAAGCAAGAATAACAGTCGAAAAGAACACTTGTTCATGAAGCGCCGTTATATCGATGATGCTAATATTGATAATCGGAGATAATTCTATGCCACTAAAAGGACCCCGATTTGCGAGTGGTTAAAACGCGTAAAAAAGTCAAAGAAAGCGCACTATAAACGCTGCTGTTTTTTTTTTTTTTATTGTCCTGAATTTATAGGGCGGTAAGATTTTTCTGTATTTTCCCTATTTTAAAAGCTTTCGAGCATGCAGATATGAGTTTTTACGCTATAACTAGGGTTCGGAGTTTTCGGTTTAAACCGATAAAAACCGATAAAAGTACGCCGAACCCATTTTCGGAAATTCGGTTTTAACCGGAAAAGGTCAGTTTTTAGGTTCGGCAGTTTCGATTTAAACCGATAAAGACCGACAAAATTTCGTCCAATCCATTTTTTAAAATTCAGTTTTAACCGGAAAAGGTCACTTTTACCGTCCAGTCGTACCGCAGAGCCGTGGCGAGCGTGTTTTCAAACTCGTTGTGAGGAAGACTTACTGGATGCAAGCTCTGCATGTTGTGTTGTGCTTCAAAACGTCGCACCGTGTCTCTTCCGGCGATTTTGGCTCAGGCAACGCGTCATCTCCTCAACCTGCCAGCGTCCAGTGTTAGCGTTGAGAAGGCGTTCTCGAAGCTCAGGGTCATATATTAACAGGAAAGAAATGGTGTGGATCAAGAAGGAGAACCTGGGAAAGTACATGTTTGTGTGTACTATAATGAGATCACGTATTCCTGATGTACAGAAGGTGAGGTTCCATGTTTTCGGGGCATAGGCTTCATATCTGACTTGTTTGTACTTCTGCGTTTTTTTTCTTGTTTCTTTTACAGTTGCACACATTTGCCAAATGAAGTGTCCATTTCTTTTTCAATGTATCTGTGCCGTTATTCTTTGAGTGATCACAAATATCAGAGCTACGTATAAGGATCATCTGATCCGGTGTCCGTTGGTGTTTGTTTTTTATTCACCGAAAAAAGCCGATAAATTTTTGCGGGCATAAATATACGCCGAAAAAAACCGAAAACTGAATTTTAAAATAAACACCGAAAAAAGTACGCCGAATTTTGAACAAATAGAAACCGAAAACGCAGAACCCTAGCTATAACGAACTTTCCTTTGCATCCCTACATAAGCAGGAGAGTGAATAAAACGAAAGTTACTTATTTCAAATCGCACTCATTACTTGGCTTTACTTTATTTTGATCGTCTACATGCGCAGCTAGGTACAGACCCAGTGTTAGTGCGTGGTTCTTGGCGTCTTTTTTTCTTTTTTGAAGACGCTCTTCATAGCTTTGGCACGTAAAACCCCCTGCAGAAAAGCGCCCGTGTCGTTTTTGCGCTAACAGTGTCGGACAGTTTACATAAATACATGCACGATGCCATTTTAGCTAAGTATTTAATACCATTAATTGCAAATAAAAAAGCAGTAACTGACCGTGTGTGACTAAGAAATGTCCCAGGCTATCTTGTACGTAGACATTATTCGTAATATTCTCTCTTATAATCAAGCGCAAAAAGAAGATGCACCCACTTTTTTTTCCACAGAAATGCATAACCGGAAGTCAGTTTCAAAGTGGCCGTCTGCTTCAAATTTGAAACCGTACGCAAACGCCAGATGAACCTCTAGTGTACGTTATAATAACTATGCGGCATTGACGATTTAACTTAAGATAAATGAATGTATATCTTGTCATCCCTCGATTACCTGACGCTTCGGAGTCCCCACCAGAATACTAATAGCGCAATGCGCCGAGAAACTAAAACTAAGGTAAAGGAAGAGACGAGAGAGGTCAGAACGCCGAGCACTGGTTCGTATGATTAGTGGATAGACCTAAAGCTAGCTGCATTCGTCTTCACTGCACTCATCTAACGCGTTCGAACACCAGAGCCAAACGCCGAAAGCCATCGTTCCGCGTTCCAACGAGTTCGACGAGTGCAGTGCAGACAAAGGCAGCTAGCTTTAGGTCTACCCACTAATCCTTCCCATCAGAGCTCCGCGTTCTGACGCCCCCTCTCGGCTCCTCTTTTCCATCAGATTCTCGGCGCATAGGGATTGTGTAGCGAATAAAACAGAAGCCCTACTACAACTTAATGCGGGTAACGATGCGGCGTCCTTTCTTTTAAACTGAATATGACAGAGTTGTGGCCAGGAGGTATGCCCAGACTGTTTGCCAAAGAAGGACGGGCAACTGATTTTGACACATATGCCACTATTATGAAACAAAATTTATCTACGAGCAAACAGACAACAAGGTAAAAGTTTATAAGGGTATAATGCGTCATCTGAAACTTAGTTATAACTGTATGCAAGCTCAACACAGCCAATTAAAAAAAAAACGATAAGGTTTGTGGTCGGGATACCGCGCTACAACACCACGTCCGTGATTTCAGAAACATGTGGTTCTAAAGGTGCTCCATTTGTTTCCTGCAGGCGCTGAACGGCTTTCTGCTCATCCTGACCTGTGACGGAGAAGTCTTCTACGCTTCGCACACGGTCGAAACCTACCTGGGCTTTCATCAGGTGAGCGACACGAGGCAGACGATACGACCCAACCTCTCACTTCCTCGTCGAGCAAATTGCAAAAAGTAGCCACGGTATTCCTGGTTGCCTTAGTTCGACGTGTTTTGCATAGGCACTGGCAAGGTGAGAACGCTTTGATGCCCGAGTTTCACTTGAGCGATAAACAGAAGCAAACGACACAGACAAGCCTCCCAACACATGTAGCATGCTCGCGCTGCATGGTACCTTTGGCAGGCGTTTACTCGTTCGGTGCTCGTGAAGTAAGCACGAGTAATTGCCAGCCTGCAAAAGATACCCTCACGGGCATGATTATCGGGTTTGAGCATAGGCTCCTTTATTCGACAAAGCCTGTGAAATCGCGAAAGACTCTGGTTTGAGGCTTGTCGCTGTCTTTTGTTTCTGTTTGTCGCTCTAGTGGGACTCGCGCATGACAACGCTTCTGTAGCTCGTGCACTTGGAGCGTGCGCGTGCAGTCAAAGGGGGGGGGGGGGGGGGGGGGGGGCGAAAGGCATGGAGCGCGTGCTGGAGGCTTGGCGTTCGGAAGACACATCCTGCCGTTCTCATTCCGTCAGTGACCTTATGATGAGGCAATAACCTCCTATATACTGAAAAAGCCTGGCAGATCACCACGAGAAGCGGCCGCCGAAATGAAAGAGGTGGACGGCAGACAACGGATGAGAGGAGAGCCACGTGACTGGCGCCCCGCTGCGGCGAAACGCCGAAACACACTTCTCCCGAGCGAACAAGTGTTTTTCGGGTCCTCGTCCCTGCAAAAGCTGTGCGCTGACGTCCAGGTTCCCCGAGAAATGGCACTTCGATGCTCTGTGCTACCAGATCCTCGCGCTCCAAATCTGCGTCCGGGCACTCTATGGCTCCGTCGTCGAACTGCCAGGCTTTGTGAGTATAGAGGAGGCTATGATGAGGCATACTCTACGCACCCAAAGCATCGGAGTAGAAGGCCTCGCGAATCCCCGCGGCTCTTTTTGTTTTCACGTTTCTTATTGTAGTGTAAATTACACCACTCGACAAGGTTTTTTTCCTCATCTTTTTGGGGTATTAAATTTAAAATTAAAACTCTTAAACAGCGCATCCTAAAAATATTGCGCTTTACTTGTATTAATTTCTTCGCAATAAAACCACGGGCGAGGTAAAATTTCATACTTTGGAAATGCCTCGGTGAAAGTCACGCCAAAGATGCTCGTTATAGGGTTCGATTTCAACTAGTCAAATTCCGAGTAGCACAGAGGAAGTGCACTGTTCCAATGCGAGAACTTTTTCTAGCTAGCGCCATCGATGAGTGCGCACTTTGACGCGGTGGCAGCACGAACAAACGTCGGTAAGCGCGCACCTGGGGAATCGAAGGGGAAACGGACGTTCGGCAGGACGTAAGTTATAGCATATGCGCACAGAGGGGCAACGGAAGCCAGGAACGAGTGCCCGTGGTCATTGGCCCGTGAACCGTCCATCACGGGTGACATCAATTAAGCAACCCCCCCACCGCCTCCAACCCCCCCCCCCCCCCCCCCCCAAAAATAAAAAATAAATAAAGCGAGTCAACTGCGATCGTTGTAATTAACGCCCCCATGGGGTACCCATATTAGCTGCGGACCAATCGAATTGCGTACTGTCATGCAAGGGGCTTTCTGTTTTGTTTTTGTCGATCTTGATTGCTTTTGTGCTAAACTCGCTTTGCACAGCTGCAAGAGCAACGATTTGTGAAACGCATGCAATCTGGTTTTACAAGAGGTGTACGCATGGCATGAGTGTGACACTCAACAATGTTCCTCTGAGCACGCTTAGGATATTCGAACATACACGCGCATGTCGACTTTAGAGAAAGAGTAGAGCTGGAAAAAAAAATCAAACAGAAAATTCAAATTGGATCGCTTTACGTTCCAAAGCGATGAAGGGCATCTGGTACGCTCCAGCAGAAGACTGAGGATACATTTCGACAACCTGAGGACGTTTTGACGAGCAACCGAAATCTCAGTCACACGGCACTTTCCCCACAAGAAGCATCCGTCAAATTGCGGGCACTTCAGCCGACATTCGAACCAGCCACTTGGGGATCCGCTGGAAAGAAAGTATGTCATAGCCACTCTGGCATGCACGTTTTCCAGTGGAGAGTTGTAGCATGGTTGCTCGACACTTGAAGAAAAAGTGAACATATTGACAAGAAAAAGACAGAGAGAAAGTGAGAAACAGAAAGAGAGATCGGCAGAGGCAAACTAAAGATGGTATACTGTAAAATATTTTTATACTGTATTCTAATAAGCTTAGCAGCGCATCCTGCAATATGCTTACGACTTCATTCCCTTTAGAGGAAGCGGCGATCCTATCGTTCTGTGCGCTTTTGTGTTTCACGTCTAACTTGGAAGAGCTCTACTCTTTGCTTATCAGTCCCGAATAGCGCCATTTTAGATTCGCAAGCTTCGTGTGCACTATGGGCAACCCCGGCGGAACCTTTTCCACCTACCTTCCACGGATTCTTGTTGTGGCCGCTAGGTGTTGCAATATGTTCGTCCTGTTCTATGGCTAACAGACGGCTGTACCTACCTTGACAACTCCGTAATCTTGACTCTTTTTTCTTTTTTTTTCTTTTTTTTTATGCAGCGCTGTTTTATAGCACGAAGAACTCGGTGAAGAGACGCAGTATTTATTCACGATCATGAAATGCAGTTGCAAATTCATGCGGCACAAGCAGTGACACTGGTATAGCGAGTCAGTTGCGTAGTATAGTACGTGTGAGAGGTCGAGCCAGGTAGCACCCTTTGGCATTCAAGCGCTGACTCTCCTCACCGGGTCTGGGTTTAGTACCTTTATCGTTGTTTCTCTCTCATTGCCCTGTATTAGGCCTAGCAGGCATGCCTCTCAGGAGATATATCTCGCCGTCTTCTTTGTTGCATCATTTAAGCCGCAGTCAAACTACTTATACATCGTACGAAAAGACACGACGCTCGCTGCAGACATGATGAAGGAATTATCTCCGGTAACGCCTCACGCATGCTCTAAGCGTGTTTGCTTCATGCACGCTCCGTCCATGTCTGCACACAGTATCGTGTGTGACCAATGTGACGTCACACAAGGAAGCAACAAGCCTCAGACAGGGACTGCAGACTGTCGTTGGTACGATGTATATTAGCGGCGTGACAGTGGCTGAACGCTGGTGTCTTTCGGGCGGCGCCTGTGGGCCCCGTGTGTGAGATGCGTGTCCCTCGTCCCTGTCCGACAGTCAGACATCTGCCACCAAAGCGTGTACGAGCTCGTCCACTCCGAGGACCGGGAAGAGCTGCAGCGGTTCCTGCTCTGGAACTCCCAGCTGCCTTCGGACAGGAGCGCCATCGCGCTACAAGAGGCCCTGCTGCCCGGTAAGGGACCTGTCCGCGATGGACACGCAACCTGAAATCCACTAAGCTCGGAAGTCCACCAATCAAGGGAAGTTTATGGGGTATGAGGAACGGCTAACTTCGTACAAGAAATTCAAACGTCACCTTTTTGTGTGTGTGTGTATTTGGAATGGTAAAATGTTAAGTCTTACTCAGCTTTGTAGAAACGAAGCTGGGCTGACGAGCCCGTTTCCTCGATCGCGTATAACGCAAGAAAACGAACAAACGTCAGTACGGGCTTACGAAGTAAATATTTTTAGTCACACTTTCGCAACAGGCGCAGTAAATGGATCTGTTATGTGGCGTTTTTAAGTAGTATTTTTTTTCCCAATTCATATACCAAATATGTCATAATATAGTGGCGATTGATGACTCCCTCTCTCGTGAGCGCATCCAAATATCTTAGCGTAATAATAGCGATATCTATAATGGCTCTTTGGCGATGCAGGTTAACCTTAACAAATAAATATGCAAACAGTTGTGACGGAGCTGCAAAAAGAGTTGCACAACCTGCGGATCACTCTGAGCTCAGTCGTGCAGCTCTGTCTTCTTTTTTTTTTTGTCTTGAGTCTTGGGTTTTACAATATTGAAAGTTCACCAACTCGCTTGCATATTCTCTGTAATTTCTATGTGGGTAAGGTGAAGAGCTGCCGAAGAAGGGTGGTTGTGGCACAGCAAATACAAGCTGAGGCGTCATTAACACAGAGAAAGGCATAGTTTGCTTTACTGGTGCCCAAAGTCCCGCTAACTTGCAGTATACGTTCTCGGGCTGTGACTCGCGTTTTACAGCTCCGTGCATTAATTATTTTGCTGAGCTTCAGTTGCAGGCTCGATGGTTTTATTCACAGTTCTATGAGAAGACTTCCGCCAGCGGCCATTTTAATCGGTGATACCCTTGGCGCACCTGCTTCCCTCGCTTGCCGAAGTGGCTAGGAATTCATGCGCCGTCAGTAAAACTGTTTCTACCACGCCCCGTTACTTTCTGTACGTATTGGGATCTTCTATACCACTAGACAAACATACAACCACCGAAACACGTAATGTCGCATAATCCGCACCGGAAACAAATTAAAAACAAAAAAAAAAAAACCCGCACATGTATTTTATCCCGAAACAACAAGCGGCACGCTGAAAGGGACGCCGGAAAGCGGAACAAGCACTGCCTGTCTGAGGGTGGTCTCGATCGTGACAGTAAACGAGAAATCGCACAGAGAGATATATTGAATCAGGAACTAGGGGAGGCAGCCGAAGCTTCCCGTCACACTGAGGTTAACAACGCAGATTGTCGAATCAAAATACGCGACCCACGTACACGTATACGTGGGAGGTGTTAATGACCATTTAACCAGGACAACCGACAATATATGAGGTTTGCCGGAATCCAAACACGAGATCATTTGAACGGAAACGATACAAGCAGCTTGTATGTCCCACTGGCAGATTGTCGTTCGGGCGATTGGTGGCCGATTGAACTAGCGCACCGCAGCTGGGACCACGTGGTGCGAAAGCTCGCTCTGCATAACTCAGGGGTCCTGGGTTTAATCCTCACCCCTCCCCGTTTCGATCAGGATGAGCATCGTACAGGCGTGCGGACTGGTATCACTACTGCGTGATGCACGTTAAACACTTCAGACGAGCAGTCGTACTGCACTGGCTAAGGTTCTCCTTAACAGGGGAGACATCAGACGGCCACTGGAGCTGACGAACTTTCCTGTCTAAAAGTGACACGACGCAACTTCCTCTCGTTAAATAATTTATAAAGATGCTCTTTTTATTTAAAAAAAAAAAACGCAACCACGCAAACTAAGATAATTACCGAGAAGATTATATGGCCACGAATAGAGGGACGTGTGTCTGTGTTGACGGAATGGGAAGAGGGGAAGAGCTGACAGGCTCGGTCGACCACGTCAGGACCTGGCAGATACACCTGGAGCGCGTTGCTCTAACAGGATCACAGGGGGCACGCGCGGCCTCTACCTCAGATCGTCCCTAAACAAAAACGGGAACATCCCCAATAAAAACCGACGAAAAAAATACAAAAAAAAACACTGAAAAAGTGGGAGTGATAGCCCTACCCGCCGCAATCCCGACCCTGATCCCCGTCCTGCCCCCAATCCATACCTACCCGCTGCTCTCGGGACTATATCTGGCCACGTGGCATACGGTAAAAGCGCTAAACTAACTCGGCACCCCTCGAGTCCCCCTCCCCAACTCCCCCAAAACCAGGTTCCCATTGTCCCACGACCCCCCTTCACTCACCCCCCCAGGATTCGACGGGCCCACTCGCAACAGACCCCACGCTATGTTGGAAAGGGAAACCTCACTCTCCGAGTAACAACCTCATTACCATCATAAATCAAATAGATCCCCCGTTTTTCTCTGTTTAATCCCCACTTGAACGAGCAGCGCGATTCACCACAACGAAACACGCGTCTCCCTTCCCTCGCTGTTCGTCTTCTGCGGGCTTTTCGAAGCTATATAAACTGGCCAGTCGTGATCAGCCAGCCCCCATGTCTGTCAGTCTTTGGCGTTTTACTTGCGTTATCCACGCTGGTTCTCTCAACGCTCTTTGAGTTCGATTTTCTCTTCTTGTTTTTCTTTTTTTCTTCGATCGCTCTAATTTTGGAAGCGGGGAAAAATTCGCGAGGACCGTGAAAACGCCGCGGCCCTCGGTGAAAATTTGGTTCACAAGCATGTGGACCGCGGCGGAGGCTACGAGCCATTCTGAGCCAACTTGGGGCCGAGATCGAGTCACGTGACAAAGTTCTTCACGTGTGCCTAAACCGGATCGCCAAGTCACGTGACGCACCTGCGACGACTCCGGATTGGCTCGAAGGGCTCGTAGCCTTTGCCGTGGTCCATTTTTCATAGTGAAGCGAAGCGTAGCAAGCGCACGTCGAATGCAGAGAGACGCCATGATTATTCTCGTTTGAAAGCAGAAATTAATCCTCGTCACACAGACGCTACCGAGATATATAAGGCTCTGCGTAACAAAGGGAAACGTCATTGAGATCCTGCTATTCGAGCGGGGCATCGAGTGTCTTTCTGTGTGGGTTCACGAACCCTTTCGCTCTGGTCACGTGTTACCCAAAGGCGAGAAAGACTTCCTGACCAGGTTTGACGGAAAGAGATGGATCGGTCTGCGGCTGCCGAAAGAGTTGCGGTTTGTGTAGGTATAACAGAAGCTGGCTTGATATCTGGCCGACTTTGAAGCGTGCGCTTGCTCGATCCGTTATACGGTTGGCAGTCTGATAAAAGTGTGCGCTGAAACCTGTGGCCACGTGGGCGGCTCCCTCTGAACGCTGTTTTGTGGATTCGAGTCACTTACTACGATGAAAGACGAATGTCATTCGCCTGTTGTTGAAGCACGTGTGAAGGCTGGGCGGGGGATCACAGGGACCGTTCTGCACTTGCAGAATGAATAACTGTCCTTGATTGACTGTTCTTGACACGAAGTATATGATAACTGTCCTCGACACGAAGTATATGATCACAGCCGAAATATTACGTCAATGTGAAGCCACATACTCCACTAAACCTGATTTCAAAGGGGCACTGACAGGTCAAAACTATATTTTTTTTTAATTATCTGAAGCAATTAAAAACTTTTCCTGGACATTACGCTTAGAATTCAAAGCTTAAACACTAAATATTTGTTAAGTAAAAAAATGAATAAATCCAAAAGCTGAATTTGAAGTTTTCGCGCGATCCCCGCCAGTGCAGTGACGTCAAAGATTGAGTCGCCCTGTAACTTGAGTTTCTCTGCCGCCTACGAAGCGTACCGACCGGAAGTAACGTGTTCTCCCGCGTCCCGCGATCAGCCGTGCTTCTCCGTGTGTGCCGCCTACCGCTGCGAGCAGACGAGGCTTCACTTTCGAATTGGAAGTTCTTTTAGGTCCCTTTGAGCCATCTCAAAGTCGCTGAAACGGTGTGATGTCGAAGAGGACGCGCAGTAATGTTTTGTGTGCGACATGAGGGGCCATGAGGCGCCGGTTCTGCGTGAAAGACTGCCCCGGCGGACTCACAACCGAAACTAGGCTGCGCATGCACCAAACCCAGTTGTTTTGACCGTTTGACGATTTCCTTCTTGAAGTACGAGAGGTCGTCGGGAACCGAAACTTCGTATGATTCCCCGACTCCTCGATTATCTTCAGTGCTACATCATGTGTCGAGCGTCGCCATGTTTTCCAAGGGAGGATATAAAGCCAGGAGACATCATTTCTGTACTTAGATTTTCGATATTTTCGACTTTTGTGCTTTCGCAATTGCGTTAAAAAAACCTGTTTTACGAATGCCGTTACTAAATATTATAGAAATGTTACTTACCAAGCTTCTTAAATTCATAATCGATCGCGTGAAAAAAAAACGAAGCTAGGAGGTGAGAAGAGGGAGAGAAAAGCTCCAAAATAAAACAAAGGTAATATTTTTGTCCAAAAATATGACCTTTGAGGTGTCCGTGCCCATTTAAAGATGTGACCAGCTGCTCTCTAGCTCTCTAGCAAAAAGGTAAATAAAAAATAAACACGGTATTTCTGACGGTTAACTTTTAGACAAGCAACACTGGGCGACGCGTACCGCAGCACCATCGTGAAGTCACGTTGAGGCCGTACAGCTGACAGCGTTGCCCTCCCTCTGTAGTAGATAGTTTTGGCTTTGTCGTAGACGCCCGAAACCATACTTTGAGCCGTGATATTTATAAAGATACACGCAATATCGGGGGGAAAATATATATACCTTGCAATTCAGGGGCACTGACTGAACTGGAAACAGTCATAATCCAAAATTTCGAAAATATAGACCGGAGCTGGCCCTTTAACGTGCACCTATCAGTAATGATACACGAACGCACGCGGGTACAATGCTAATCCAGATAAAAAAGGGCAGGGGTGGGGATCGAACTCACGCAACACATACGTATAACGTAGGGTCTGTCTGCCTTTAAATATGACTTTGTGTCTCCGAATTGGGGTCGCGATAGTCAC